AAAAAGGGGCTCAATCTCCTTCCATCACATCACTTGGATACTCAGGGATATAAACGTGCCCACAATGATCAATCAAGTGTAACTACACAGCGTTAGTTGCTAAGACACAATTACATATATATGAAGCTATACTACAGTGTGAAGGCTACCAGAAGTGATGAATTACAAACAATAAGGCACTATGATAATACATCTCCTGGACCCCATGATGAGACAAGCATAAGTAACTAAACACAAACCCAGTGCATTTTCTTTCAAGACAGAAAAAGGCCCTGAAAATCTTCATCTCTTGAACCCTAATGTTTAACCAGCACCCCAATCCAAAGGCATTAATTCAAAGGTCATCCTTATGCCTTGTCCATCACATAATAAGAGAATGTAAATGATTAATGCTAGCGAACTTCACAGTAAGTATAGACACAAAGGTTTCAAAATTAACTAATTCTTGCAACAATATGGATGGACCACACAAATGCAATGTTATCAAAATAAACTGGAATAGAAGCATAAAACTATGCAGCACTGAATAGGAGGCCAAGCAGTAGTCAGCCAGGGCTGAAGGAGAAGGTGGTGATTAGAGTGAGGGGAGGCGGGCTGTGATAAAGTTCTGTTCTTGAACTGAGTAAACAATGGCTAAACAGATGTGTTCGCTGTAAAAAAAATTTTAAGCTGTACACTTTTAAGATCATGCACCATTTATGTACAGTATACTTCAGGAAAAATATTTTAATGATATAACAACAAAGGGTGGGTGGGGTAATGATGATTCTAAACTTCACTAACACAATATCGTGTTCATCACCTATATTCATATATCATTAAAAAAAACAACAACACCTCTGCTAGGCCTGTGCCTTCTTGCAACTAACTGAAGCCCTCTACAGAGCGGAGAATCCCACTTCCTGCTGCATACACCTGCTGTGATTCCCATCACTGTGTGTTCCAGGTAGAAGAACTGCTGGCCAAATGGCACGCTGACTCATTCAACTCCTCGAGCCACCAGGACGTGGCTGCTTGATGGGAGCCATTTCACAAAGAGCGTTTTCCAGCCACATGGCCTTCCACTGTCAGCCAAACAGTTGTCAGAGACCTGTGATGGCACTGAGCCACCAGCTTCCCTGAGGGGTACCAGACCTGCCACAGTCAGCACAGCCAGCGAACGGAGAGGAAAGAGGATGTGCTGGCTGTTAATGTGGCGAACTCCAAATCACAGCCAGTACGAGGCTGGGTCAGGGGAATGAGTGGAAATCTCGAGTCAAAAACTGTGAAGTGGACTGAGTAGCAAAAGGAAGCAAGCTGGGCCCCAATAATTGAATCTCTTTAAAATGCCAGATGCCTATCGGATGCAAAATGACTTTTCCCACAGTGGAGCAGGGCCCCCTTGAACCCCACATTCAGGCATGGCTGTGACTGACACAATTAGATGGAGTCTGCAATCGCAGTAATTCGGTTTTCATGGTTCACAAGAAAGTTTACTTCAGATTAATTCTGTTTGTGGAAACAGCTCAAATATTCTTCCCATCTAACTCACGTCACTTAGAAATAAGAAGTCTGTTTTAATATAACCACCATGAACGGAACTCGGCCACAGAAGTTCATGCTGGATCCAGACCACGGAAACCATGCTCTTTTGAGTGTGTCTTAGCTCAGCTGATGATCACACACTGGGTTCTAGATTCACAAATACTGCATCACCTGCAAGATGACTAAATTCCTGGGGTAGCCTAAATTTTATATTCTCATATATTATCTTAGAATATAAATTGCTTTAAGTGGTTGAAGTGACATAATTACATTACCAGCCTGCATATCTGCCACAGGGTTAGATAATACAAGCACATCTTGATTGCCTACTACATACGCAGGAAAATTCCATGAACTTTTCATTATATTTTTCTATGAACTTTTTTAGTTTTCATAAATCTTTAATCGGGTATAATTAAGTAAAAATTAGGGAACACTTCACAAATTTGCATATCATCCTTGCACTGGGGCCATGCTAATCTTCCCTATATCCTTTCAATTTTAGTATATGTGCCGCTGCAGCAAGCACTTTCATAAACATTTAGTACTACCGCAAGCTTCTGCCATTAGAAACAAAGTCCACCCATTCCTCACTGACTGGCTTCAGATAGGTCCCAAAGACCAGGTCGTGAGACAAACAAATGAGTGTTATTCAAAAAAGAGGATGACATTACACCCTAACTTCCAAACCACTGAGAATCAGGGCCCAGCCAAGTCACATGTCACTTTAATCATCACAGCTATGGTTACTCTGAATTCCCACTTCAACATTCATTGTTGCCAGATACACGTCTAATGCACCAAGTAGTTGGACAGATTTTTCACTGTTATACATGCAAAATGTTGGATAAAAGATAGTCAACAGAAAGGGAGTTATGTGTATATTACAAGGTTAGGTGCCACACTGCAGAGTTGGCAGTGCGAGGTAGTACTGCACCAGGGTAAGGAGATGTTTTAAAGCAAGCACTTCTCTAAATGCAAGGAGACAAAGTAAAAGAACTAATTGTGGAAGGCCCTCAGTTAACTTCCTGACACAGCCAAGGAGGAGGAAAAAAACTGAGAAGTTCTTAAGCTAAAGAAGCTCTTTTCTATTTGAATCTGGCACTGCAATCATTTGGTGGATTCTTTCTAAGAGATGAACATATTCCTATGAAAGAAATTCCTATTACATGAACAGGAATAAACTACTGATGTAGCATCTCAAAACAGTGCTATATCATAGACCAGTATAGCAGTTCACAGAGAGGGCTGATCCCTAGATACAGCTGGGGTGACTGGGGGGTGGGGGGGGCAGGAGCCTCCCAGAACTCTGATTCACTAGGACTAGAATGGAGCCCGGGATTCTGTTGTTTCCTAAGCCCCACCCACCCATGATGATTAACCCGGCTTTAGATGCATTGGACTAGTATGTTATTACACACCATTCAATCCAGATTTAACTTGGAACAAATTACTTACAACTTAGCTGTTGGATAAGCCCACCCTCCCACCCACAGCCATCAAGTTGTTTCTGACTTCCAGCAATACTATATATAGGGTTTCTGAGGCTGTGAATCTTCACGGGAGCAGACAGCCTCATTTATCTCCCGTGGAGTAACTGGTGGGTTTGAAACGCCCACCTTACAAAGTTAGCAGCCCAATGCTTACCACTACCAGGACTCCTGTTCATTCTTACAGTGCACACAGGCACCGCAAAGGCCATTGTTCATATTTACTCGTGTCTCTACCATATCCCATCTCTTTGCCTCTGGCTTCTCATTCTTTATTCTTAAGCAAATCTAAATACTTATTATTCTTAATTGTTCTTAAGGTATAGTATCAATGCTGTTTCTTCAGGGACGCGTCTCTGGCCACCAGTCCCAACAGCTCAAGAATCCTTCCATGTATTTCTGCAGGATCCTGGACACACGCTGCTAATAAGAGGTTATCTTTATGGGGCCCTTACTTTGTGCCGAATACTCTTCTAGGCCTTTTAGTACACGTTAACTCACTTAATCCTCCCCCACTCCATTCTTCCCTCCCTGTTTTAGAAATGCAGACAGAGACTAACGAGCACCAAGTCACACAGGAAGCCGTGTGGCTCTGTTGCCCACCTCCCTAACCACTGCAGTGTCACCTCCCCTTCAAAGAAGTTCTCACTCTGGATGATGGTCAACCTCTAGGTCTTTATTTCATATTGTTTCTTAGTGTGTCTCTTGCTCACTGAGCTGTAAGCTCTATGAGGGTCAGACTCCTGTCTAGTTTCGTCCCCACTGTATTTCCAGCTCACTGTGAACATGCTCTAACAACGTCCTTCTTTTTTTAAGATCATTTTATTGGGGGCTCTTACAACTCGTTACAATCCATACATCAATTGTATCAGACATATTTGTACACATATTGCCACGTTCTTTTCTAGACATTTACTTTCTGTTGAGCCCTGTCCTTCTCACAACCAAAATTCACCTAGCATGCAGTCATCGTGAGTTGGAACTAACTCAACAAACATGAACAACAACATCCTTTTTAAAATGCTAATAAGATCATCACCTTTCTTATTGTTATGGTAGCATTATGCCTCCCAAATATGTACTGCAAATCCAAAATCCTATGCTTGCTGTTACAATCCCATCTGGGAATGGGTTTTCTTTATTAAGTTAATGAGAAAGATGTACTGCTGTTATTGTTGTTAGGAGCCATCTAGTCAGTTCTGACTCGTAGCGACCTGTGTACAACGAAACAGCCGTCCTACACCGTCCTCCCTCTTGGTCTTGTATCTGAGCCCGTACAGCCACCAGATCAATCCAGCTCTTTCAGGCCTTCCTCCCTCTTTGTCGCTGCCCTTCCTTCTTTACTGAGCACGACGTCCTTCTCCAAGGACTGGTCTCTCCTGATGACATGTCCAAAATATGTGAGACAGTCCCACCATCCTTGCCTCGAAGGAGCATTCTGGCTGTACTTCTTCCAAGATAGAAGTGCTGGTTCTTTTGGCAATCCATGGTTCTTTCATTATTCTTCTCCAGCACCATAATCCAAAAGCATCGATTCCTCTTCGGTTTTCCTTATTCAATGTCCAATTTTCACATTCATATGAGGCAACTGAAAATGTCATGGCTTGGGTCAGGTGGACCTTAGTCCCAAAGTAACGCCCTTGCTTTTTGACACTTTAAAGAGGTTACGTGCAACAGATTAGCCCAGTGCGCTATGTTGTTTGATCTCTTGACTGCTGCTTCCATGAGCACTGATTGTGGATCCAAGCAAGATGAACCCTTGACAAGTCAACCTTTTCTCTGTCTACCATGGTGCTACCTATTGGTGCAGTTGTGAGGACTTCGGTCTTCTTTTCATTGAGTTGTAATCCACACGGAAGGCTGCAGTCCTTGATCTTCATCAGCAGTGCTTCAAGTCCTTGTCACTTCCAGCAAGCAAGCTTGTGTCAGCTCCTGAAACTTATTCACACGGGGTGACCCTGCTGCCATTTGAAACACCAGTGACA